CAGCCACAAGAAAATTGACTAGGTTACGCCAGACGTTCACTCACGCGTGACATGAAGGGGGGATGAGTGCACAGGAGAGGAGTGTGTTGGTGCTGTGGACCGACTAGAGGGAGGGAATGGCATCCCCTCATGCGCAGCTGTGCCTGGGTGTGCGCGCAACGCAGGGGCAGAATAGCGCGACGGCGCTAGTGTTTTTCTATCAGGGATACATATAGTTTAGGATAGATGTCTGTCCTAGGACAAGTCACCAACACTGAAACAGAACACTCGATAGTGTCAGTCAGATTCCTGATAGCAAAACGGATGCGCACTCTGCGCACCGGCAGCATAAATCTGGCGCTAATGGAGGGAGGCGCTGTGACTGTCTACTGCAGCCCGTTCTAGTCTAACCAGACAGACATGCTACCATTCCGACCCCCTCAGGTGATTCCCGCAGTTCGTAAGCCCTGCGTACTCCCGGGCCTTTGTTATTATTTACACCCATAAGCCAGCTCCGCCGCGGTGCCGAGTTAGCCAACAATAGTGGTAATCCTGAGGTTTACCGAGCGCGGCCTTTTCCTTGAATGTGCGGCACCGGATAATCGACGTGCCTGCTCGCTCGCCAGCGTTAAGAGTCGAAAGTCGAGGCATTTAGGCTAAATGTATTCCTATTATAAACGGAACCAAACCAAATATCTTCCTACCCTTCATTTCTTGATGATTTTTGCATTGCACTGCAGTTACTTTCACAGAAAATATAGGCTCTCTAAATTTCCATTAGTTGGGATTCTGTATTTACACGTCGCATAGAACCATAAATTTTTTAGGAACTAGACATGTGAGCTGTCCCAGCTCACTTTTATGCATTTGAGTTAAATAATGTGTTTTCATTTTTTACAATTTCAGACTATACGACGAAAAATGTGTATAGGAGACAAGACCCTCCCTCCCAAACTCTTTGCAGGCAATTCGTACGTCTTTCACTGAGCTTTCATATTTCTTTAGTGCATTCGCCCTGGCTACTATAAAGGAACGAATGCCAGTGATCCTCGTGCGGACCCTGGATGATCTCAGCAAAAATCTTACGAAATACGGCAGTCAGGAGAAGAACGTACTGTTTAATTTACTTTCTCCTCTTTACGATTAGTTCGAGGATGCGAAGTTAGTTATCCACCACCTTTCAAAGCTTCGCTACGAACTAGTGACTGACAAGCCATTCGCCACGCTTTTCGACGAACCGACCTCTGATGTTGACCAGTGGAATTCTGAAATTGCCCAGTATTTTTCTTTCTAACTCACATGCCTCTTAGCCTTGAAGAGGGTCGAAATTCCGCGTTCTCGGCATCCTGGCTTTTTGCTGAGTGCTACATGTACAGGAGAATTATGAATATAGTTTCACAAAGGTAAGTTTTTCGTTGTATATCCCCCATCCTCTGTTGCGGCAGCTTGCCATCATTCGACCCATTCGCAGAGCGCAAGCTAGAAGGTTTTCAAAACAGTCGGACACTCATCGCTTCTATGATTACCTGTCTTGATGAAACGCTTGAACAAACAGAAGCAGAGGAACAAGCGGACCGTCTTAAATCCTACCTGGCGGTATGTTCTCCAGCATTCACTGCCGTCCATTTTCTTGCCTCGTGTATTCATGTTGGTAGATTATCGTCTTAAATTGCAATTTATTCTATTACCTCTTGACTTGAAGTTATTCGTTGACCGTGTAGGTATTAAGAGTTATTATTGAGTATCGGCTCGATTTCTTCTTATTAGATTTCGAGTGCTCGAGT